TCAGCAATTATAATTTTTCTTTCATATTGCATGCTCAAGCATTCTTGAAAAAATTCCAGTGTAAATAAATTATCTATCTTACTTTCTTTACTTCTATCTACCTCTGCCATTATCATAAAATCTTTCTCCCTCTCAATATATATATATATATATATATTATAAAATAATGACGTAATAATGTCGTTTTTGACGTTAAAAAATACGTCAAAAACGACATTATTACGTCCTTATTTTTGCACCAACGTTTATATATATATATATATATATATATATATATATATATATATATATATATATATATATATATATATATATATATATATAATCTTAAGCAAACACTAATCAACAACGGCTTCCCTAACCACCTCTTATAGATTATTAGACTATATCTCCCCAAAGTAAGTAATGACGATAGTGAACACACAGACAAAAATCACATTTATTACAAAAACCAAATGCATATTAATTACAAACAAGACGAATCTTCTCTATGGCATATTATAAAGAAATATAGTACTCCAATTGACCCGAAAAACAACTCAAATTAATTATCTATTATAAAAAATTTAAGACTGCCAATCTTATCCTCAGAAATAACAATACACCAGCTAAGTCAAAATTACAAAGAACGAATATTATCTATGTGTTCAAATGCCCCTTAAGGAACTGTGTTCCTGATCAAATCGGAATCATAATTAATTACATCGGTTACACAACCACATGCTTATCCAGACATCTTACTTTACACCTATCTGATCACCGCTCCATTAGAACCCATTTAAACACACACACACGGATTTACTAGACTCCATTAAAAACATACTAGTAGAAAACACAAATATATTAACTCCATCCACCTGCAAAAAAAAAAAAGACTGAAAATAATGGAAGCTTTAATAATAAAAAAGAAAAAGCCAACTCTTAACAATATTAATTACGAACAAAGCCACAATGTGCTAACCGTATTCGGAAATTAAAAACATCCCTACCACACACTAAGACATACACAGAACTCACACACTCAATTAAGCTGAAGAATCGAATCATCCTTGATAAAGACTAAAGGTATAGCCGAAAGCGCTCAGAATTATAAAACATTTGGACAGTTCTTACACACCGTTTGTCCAGAAAAGAAAGCTCTTGTTCGAACACAAGAAAAATTAAATAAAAAGCTTAACCGTAGTACCTTGTCTGTCGTTTTAAATGAAACATGCATATATATATATATATATATATATATATATATATATATATATATAGCCATTTTTATAATTTTAGCAAACGTCTAAATATATTTGATCATTTGATATCTTATCTTGTCTGTCTCTGTTTTTGCTTATCTTCGTCATTTTGTTTTTATCCAACAATCTGTCTCCTTACATGACAATCATGAGTCATATCAGTTTATAGACGATTAATCGTTCTGAGTTTGAATTGGAACAGAAAAAGAAAACTTACATAAAATGCATTCATTTTTATATATGTCTATCCATTGTCTCTTTCTGTTCTCGCTGTTCTCTCAGTTTCCAAGTATATGCGTATCTACTAGGTCAATATAAACACGAAGTCGAGTGTAATTAGACCATGAAAACCGGGTTCGTATCTTCCTACGGACGATTGATCTCGAAAGGTGATTCTCTGATTTATCGGCGTGGAAAGGTAAATTCAGCGAGCGGCACCGTTGATATAAGCCTTGTGTGCGCAATTGGGTTGACGGTACTGTTCAGAAGCCGTCGATGTTTGTGCAGGTATGGAAATCACCAATGGTATGAGTGCTCTAGCCCAGTTCAAAAAATTGCTCACGCCAGGTTATGTTCTTCCTTGCAGAAACATTAAATGAGATCTGCCAAGAATAGTTGCAATATAAGCAACAGAGATGGCGCTTATAGGGTTTGGCAAGCTGCCCTGGCTGACGACTGTGTTGGGAAACTAGGAGTAGCCGACCATTCACTCATTTTGTGATTTACAAAGACTAATTTAAATGAAACTTGAGACAGCAAGTTAAGAACACTATGTGAGGATCAAACTCACTTTTTCTTTTATGTGTCATGTTCTTTCTTATAAGTATTTTTTGTTATTTCTTCCAAAACCTGTTCTACCATTTATTTACCCAAGTTCATCAAATATGTTACACGCTGTTTTTTTCTGGCCTTCTTTACCTCAGTCTGTCCTGTGAGAATCAAATTTTTCAAGCCCTCTTTCCTCAATACGCGATCCTGTTCCTAAATGTTAAGTATAAGTTTCCTTTTTGTTACCATGCTCTCCAAATCCTCGTCGTTGTACACAGGTTCGGTCCAAGGTATCATCTTTCTGTAGAACCATATTTCTGTTGCTTCAAGTCTCTTCTTCATCTTTGAGGAGATTGTCCAGTACTTGTTGCTTCTTAGATTAACTGAGAGACGATATGAATCAAACTGAAATACAGTTTGAGGTTGACCTACTTAGCAATTTACTTATGTCGAGAAAATGCCAAAATGGAATTCAGGCGAACGTTCACAAAAGTTTTGAGCTCATAAAGCATGTAAACCGAATTCGGAAAAAAAATACTGTCTCCATTCCACTTTTAGTGTGTGTGTGTGTGTGGGGGTTCAAAAGCAATGCAAGTTTTCAGAAAAGACGATATCATCACATCACTATCTATCTATCTATATATCTATCTCTTTATCTATATAGTTAAACCTAGAGAGCTAGACAAACCTACCAAGGTTTCACCTAAGGTCAAAATAAGAAGAGGAATCATATATATATATATATATATATATATAGTTAAACCTAGAGAGCCAGACAAACCTACCAAGGTTTCATCTAAGCCGATCCTCAGGGAAGGCTGGCTCCCTGACGATCCGCTTAGGTAAAACCTTGGTAGGTTTGTCTGGCTCTCTAGGTTTAACTCTCTCTCTCTCTCTCTCTATATATATATATATATATATATATATATATATATATATATATATATATATATATGATTCCTCTTCTTATTGTGAGCACTTTATTTAGTTATTTTGTGTACTCGCTTCGGGGATTTTATCTTTGGGCCTTGGACTCGTATGATGGGCGATTATTTTCGGCTAACGTACATGTTCTTGGTTTTTTCATTTTTTATACCTTTTTTCCCTTTGGTATTGGTTTGATTATTTGCAAATCAATACACCGAAGGTTTTCCGAACGAGTATAGTTTCTTATACTTATAAGGTTTCTATTAATAATATCTATCTATCTATCTATATATATATATATATATTGCCATACAGGAAGACAAAGAAAAAGTTTACCATTCATCCAGGCATTGTATATTTATTTCATATGGTGCTTTTGCTATGTATATAGGTAAACATACAAGTTTAAAGAAAGGAGCACTCTGTGAGTACCGAACTTGCTACTTCGCCATAATTAATCTAGCGAAATAAGCTTGTTAAAACACGGAAACTGCAATAGATTCTGTTGTTTTTATAAGGGTGGGCAGTAGGAAAAGAATAAAAAGAAGGAAAGGCTAATCAACATAAGTAGAAAGAAAGTCTTTAAAAAAAAGGAAGAGAAATCATTGGCGAAACAAAATGAAGAGAGAGATGAAAAGCAAATAGAATGAAAACTTACAACTGAAATGAAAAGTTCTCAAATCTAGGAAACTACTAACAAAAATAAAAATAAAAAACAACAACATAGAATTCATACACTAAAATGCTAACTGATAGCAAAACGTAGTATGTTCTTTACCCAACCTGACATTGTTTACTGACGAAATAAAAAAGAACTAGACAAAAACAAAGAAAAGAAGAATGAAGGAAAAGAAAATGAACAGATCGAAAGATGGCTGCCCCCGCTCCCGCCAAAAAAAAAGCAAAAAGGAAGTTTGGAAAATGGCCGCCGGAAGACAGCGCAAAAATTTCAAAGTCAAATCTTTCAAAGAATTGATTAAAGTTTTACAAGAGAAGCCGTAAATATTCTCAAACGACAAGAAAATAAGACTTTTAAAAGTTAGTTTTGAAAATAAAAAATTACATATGCCTCCATATACGCACACAAATGCATATGTATGCATATGCAAACATATATACCGGGTGTAACAGCAAAATTGTCTGAATCGTGTAACAGCATAATTGTCCACCACACAAAATGTTTAATATCTAGAAAATCACTGAACCAATTGAGTTTCCTTTTTCCAGGTTTTCAGATAAGACGTTTAGCCATCTTGACATCATTCGTCTTAAGAATCACTACAAACCCTTTGAGTTATTCTGCTAGAAAGAGAGCAGGCTAAAATCGTTTTGTGTCAGCCACTCTGAGAAATAGTGAGAGAAAAAAAAACATTCAGCTCTTCAGTAAATTTTACTAACATTCATTCCGTCTTCCGTCTTCAATGTCCATTCGAGAACCATCAAGAGAACGGTGAGTAGGTTTAAAAAAGAGGGAACAGTAGAGAGATAATCTGGAGCAGGAGGTCACAATAAGAAGAGTGATCATCACTTCAACATAGTTAAAGGGATCAATTAGAAAAGATCCAACTCAATCCCTAAGACGTTTGGCACGTGAGAGAGGAATTTTAGCAATGATAGTTCAAAAAACAATGAAAAGAAACTTGAAAATGCAATCGCACCTTAAACTTGTGATACATCTTGTTACTCCAGGATAGAATGTAAGAAAGTTAGAAAGGATTTTCAGCGATGACAGTCAAAACAGTAATTAAAAGAGAGTTGAAAATTAAATCGTACGTAAAACCTGTGGGCACTTCGTTACTCCAACAAAGAAAGTTAGAAGATTATAGAGGGCGAAGATAGTCTTGAATAAGTTGGAAAATGATCCCGAATAACATATATATATATATATATATATATATATATATATATATATATATATATATATATATATATATATATATATATATATATATTTATGTTTAACGTTCTTTTTATAGATACAAGTATTTAAGTAAATGCTCTGTTTATAATAAACAGTATTAAATAACATTTACCGACCTGAATGTCCGAGAAATTTTCATAGAA